ATTTTTTGTGAGCATTTTAGCGCTTCGAATTAATGAAAAACGTCTCAGATTTTCGCTTGATATTTATTCATTTCAATCAGGGACCACAAGGTGTCAAAGTAGGTTTCAAGGGAACACAGCGGTTATGCAGACTGCGGCAATCTTTCGGCGTTATCTCGCTATTTATACCCTGGGTTAGCCTTCCAGCCTTCTCTGTGAATTTATTTTTTACCCAGAAGTGGAGCCAGGGCCGCAGCCACTTGGCACGAAGGGGGGGGGGGGGGGGGCACAGGACGGACAGAGGCTCTCTTGGTACAAAGGGGCCCCAAAACATCGCTGGATATGGTCCATTTTATAACGAGGACATATTTAGTTACTATTTCTTTCATATTTAGGTTCTTGACTGGAACAAAGTCCAGAACCCACCGCGAGATGAATTCTGTCTGAATTTATAGTCAACACACGGCAGCTGAATAAATCATGCGTCAAACGACTGCACGAAATAAATCGCCGTCGCTCTTCACTTTAAAGTGGTCCAGTGGACCCTTTCTAAATTGACAGAAATCCCAAGTTTTGTCTAAATTTTGATCTGTGTATTACCCAGACATGAAAGACTCTACAAATGTAGATTGTGGATCGAAAGGGGTTGACAATTTTAGTTAACATAACCAAACTATGTTCGCCTAGAAATTGGCAACATTTAGTCAGAATCAATGAGTGATGAAACTTATGCAACGTAGATTTGAACACGAGCGCTTGCAAGTCTTAGCAAGAAAAACCTCCACGCAAAACGCTGCAATCTCCTTTAGCCGCGTAGGGTCTCCACTGTGGCTCACACTGAGCCGTGGCTTACAGGCTGACAAAAGATGATGGCACATCTGAAAAAAGAACCTTTGAACGCTTAAGGAAATCCAATTGTGCATTCGTTAGGTAAATGCTAAGAACGGATTGACCTTTACAGCACCGCGAAGTGGTACTGGAATCTGATGTTTGAACTGCAGGAGTAAAGATAGAATCCTGTTTAACTATCCAGAGAGCAAACTCAAAGTTGTCACATTTGGAATCATTGTTTCACAAGAGTCGTCCCCGCTCGCACGGCGCCCGCCGCCTGCGGTCGTTTGCAGTGGCCGATGGCGTTTGGTCTTCTGCTGTTGTTTTTTTACGGAAACTACGACCGCGGCCACCGCTGTCCTTGCTCCGAGACTGTGAGCGCGCGGGCTCAAACCTTTGGCCGTAATTTGTTTCACTAGTCCATTCTACAAATGAATGCCCTTTCTGAGGCAAACGTGACGTGACCTCGTACATTTTTTAACTTATTTCGACCCACTATATTCTATACTTATGAGCCCCTATCCTGTTTTTGGTGTGCAATGGGCCCCTTGAGCAGAACACTAGGGGCACACTATTGTTCCCGTTCAAAGGCTGAAGGGCCATTCCGTCCCATCACGGGTGTCTTCCGGCCGCCATTCTGACGACACGGTGACAGAATCCCCCAGTCGATCCGAAGACAATAGGAGGGATACAGCACGTCACATTGCCCCCCTCCCTGGCACGGGAGGCCTTCTGACTCGCGCAGTTAGCCCGGATAGACGCAGGAACTCCCACTGACGCAACAAGATCCCTGATCGTCGCAGGCAGTCTAATATTTAGCATATTTTTCTAATTCAGCTTAACGGGCTAATGCTGAAATTAGATTGGAGGACCCGCCGCTCGGTTCTTGGGTCCTGACTGACACAGGGCCCTTCCATTCTCTTAATGTGAACACAAGTTCTCGTGTTTCCTTGCATCGTCAGAGGGCCCCGACCAACGCAAGAGGCCCTCTGGCATTTGGGGTCCCGTTCCCGTCCCTGTTCAGCAAATGCTCCGCTGGCCGATTTGATGTTCTTGTTGACACAGGACGCCCTATTGAGGACTATGGGCCCTGACCAATACAGAAGCCCCGCATTGTTGCAGGGGCCCGGACAATTCAAATCGCAGGCCCGGCGTTGTCCCGGCTTGGTAAATGGGAGCCCAGAGCTCAGACCGATATGGAGCCGACTGTTCGGTGTTGGTGATCTCTGGCCAAATCAGAGGAACGCACTGTCTAAGGGGTCCCCAATGGACGCCAGGGTCTCTTGTGGTGTGTATCCTGTCCAAAGTATTCTCGGAGGACATGCGTCCCTTCTTCAACAGGCAAATGCAGCTTTCAACAGAACAGAGTTGCTTGCTGTGGGGAAGACGCACCATCATGCCTCCGAAGTATCGAGGACGACTACTGGAGGACCTACACAAGAGCATCCTGGTATGAACGTCAGGAAAGTTTTGACTAGAGGTTACCTGTGGTAGCCTGGACTAGATGTCGGTGTAGAGCGGACAGGGCAAAGCTGTGGGGTCTGTCAGGCCGTTCGGCCAGAGCCGGTAACCGCCCCACTCCATCCCTGGACATGGCTGGATGGTTTCTGGGAGAGGGTTCAAATCGATTTTGCTGAACGGGGAGGACGGCAATTTCTCCTGGTGGTGAAGACATTCAAAATGGCTTTAAGCCCTCATTGAGCCAAACATAACCACAGAACGGACTGTGTCGGTCCTGAGGACTGCGTTCGCCAGATACGGTCTCCCCGAAGTCCTAGCAACCAACAATGTCCCCACATTCGCATCTGTGGAATTTAGATCTTTTCTGCAAAGCAATGACACGAAGCTCTTCCTGACATCACCCAGCGTCGAACGGAGTGGCTGAGCGCTGTGTGTGTCAACTGTCAAAGAGGCGCTGCTGAGAAAAAGGCTGTGAAGGAACGGCCAGGGACACCAAAGGTAAATCTGGGGCACAGGAAAGACTGTTTTCTGCTCACACACCGGAAAGCACCCCACAGTGTCACGCGCCAGGCACAAGCGGAGCTGTTTCTTCACCGCAGCGTGCGCGCGAGACTATCTCCGATCAGACCCAGCTTGTCAGATCACGTCAAAAGGCATCAAGAACCACAGCTGCGACATCATGTCAGCCCGGAGCCCGATTACGAGCTTTTGCTTCGGGCAAACGTTGCAGGTACGAAACCACAGGAACTCGGGTGATATTTTCCTGGGTGCGTGGCTTTGTGGTGGCTCGGAAAGATCCGCTGATATACCTAGTTCGCGTTGGCGGAAGGGCCCGCCACGGCCATACCCGTCATCATCTGCACGCTGACACATTCCCACCCAGCCTCAGCGAAGAGGCGCCTGCGTCTCCACTCACGGTGCTCTAACAGATGAACTCTGCCAACGGGAGGTGGCCCTCCGGACAAGCCGAAGTGTCCACCAGGAAGCATCATGTGGAGGACCCGATCGCTCGTGTAGCAATGATCGATCGACATCAGTCAACCACTGGAGGCACACAACTCATCTTTGAGAGATGGCGTAACGAAAGCAGACGCGTCGCTACCGGCACAGTCGGGGAAGGATCGCTCGATGGCGGTGTCCCTGAGACGTTCTAACCGTGAAATCAAGTTGCCCATCAGGCCGGGTTTTGATTGACGCTTGCAGTGTCTCCCAGATCGTGAAGATGAGTTCTTGAAAACGTAAGGAATATACTCGCGGTCCTTTTTGTTTTGGTATTTGCGCAGGCGCAAGTTAGAATTGAAAGGGAGAAGCGTGTTGTATTTGGTACCTGTCACCCTTCAGCACTCGGCTGCGCGCATTGTGGTGCCACCTATGGAGCGGCCGGGTAAGTTGCTTGGCAACGGGAATGTTTGAGGATGGTGGGCGGGGTGTGCGAAGCACGGTTGGCACTCATTGCGGCATGGCTTGGGCAGCGCACAGTTTATCACAGCGCTTTATCTAACATTTGAGATCGCGCCCCTAGGGGCGGGGACTCTTAACATGACCTGCAGCCAGCCATTCGGGCCATTCAGCCCCCCCCCCCCCCCCCCCCCCCCATTCGTGTCCTCGATCTCTGGTCTCGAGAAACATTTCAGCCCTTCTTCAGCCCCTCAAACAGGGTTTCTGGCTGACTCGGGGCCTTTTGCCGTCACGGGATCCCTTTTAGGCACTGTGGTCCCTGACCGACATAGAAGCCTCTCACTGCGGCAGGGATCACGAGCATTGCCAATGGAGGGCCCCGGCCTCGTTCCTGTTTGGTACATGAGTCCCAAAGGGCTCATACGGACATGGAGCCAGCTAGAGGGCCCTTATAAAAGCAGTCAATCTGACGGACATTTCAGGTCAAAGCACTACAGATGGTGGGCCCTACCTCGAGCACTACCCTCGATCGGCGCGGGGTCTCTCGCCAACACAGGGCCTTGTTAGGAGCCATGGGGCCCTGACAGACACTGGGGTCCCGACCAATGTAAATTGTTAACTACGGCTTTGTTCCGGCTTGATAAATGGACCCTCAGGCCCACGTCGACACTGAACCGACCTTGCGTTGCTGGAGGTGTCTGACCGACATGTAGGCCCTTATGGACTCAGGAGGCCTGATCAGCGTGCAGGGCCCTCTGACCGGCATTCGAGTATTCGGCGCTGCGGGCCGGGCCACCGAATATGACCTACAACCAACCTTTCGAGTGCCTTAAGACCCCAAAGCAGGCACTTAAATATAGGTCCCAAGAAGTCTCTTAGGCTTCTCAGAACCTAAGGGAGAACGCTCTCCATGCGCCCATTTCCTGCCCGTGCCATTGAATGGAGTTTTGCAAGAAGAATACCTCCTCACGCTTTGCGAATTTGACAACTTATTCCCAGAGCACCCGTTCATTCACATCGCTAATGCCATCTATTGACTCCTTTTTAAACCATTAGAATGGCCAACAGTTTCTTGATTCTACAAGAAAAAACTTGAATGAAGAAAACTATTTTTTACAATGTTTGTAAAACTTATTTTCCTTATTACCTAGCTGGCTCCAAATCGTAGTAAGAGGAGTTGGTGTCATAAACTGCATAATGATGTAAAGGAATAAATGAAATGAGAAAAAAAAATTGGTTCACCGATATTTTACTTTTATATCAATTTCCATTACACATCGATTACCTTTTGGGGTGGTATGCTTTTGCATGCCGAGAATGTAATATATATTTTTGCACTGACAGCTATGTAAACGCGGCACGCTTCCTTCTCTGTATTCCACATTCGTAGCGAGGTGGGTGCGTGGTGTGCGGTGAACGGTTTTTATTGTTTGTATCGGCCTGTCTTGTTTTGCACGTATGTTAAAAGCTTGTCTAGATACTGATCAACTTCTTGTCTCCTGTTTCAGAAGTCGCTCGCGATGAGAGGAAAGGTCAGTATCATTTGTACTGCAAGTACTTGCTCGACGACGGATCATCACCTCGTGTATTGATATTGGCCGGTCTGCCAGTTTTGTCAGATATCTATGAAGTTAAAGTTAGTCAGTTCGGTTCAATCAGGCTGTTATTATTTCTTCCTTTTCCTTTTGTGAGTAGGCTTCATGCCTCGTTGCTCTCCCTTCTTCTCTGCAGTGACCTGGATTGAGTAACTGCTTCAGGGGGCAAACCAGTGGTTGCCATTTGATAATGTACTATTCATGCCTATAGTTTTTTGTTGCTTTAAAATTTTAAAATCTTAAATTGACTTGTACTTGATTCAGTGTTAGGACCTAATGGAACTGCCTAGCAGTAGCTGATCAGGCAGTAAAGCCTGATGTCATGTACAGGTGGTTGTTTTTGAGTGGGCTCATCAGCATTGACATTCTGAGCAGCACTGCACTGGCGCACACTGGCAGCACTAGCATTCTGGGCCCGTACCACCTCCCAGGATACGATTTTCAATGATGGGCAAAATTTATTGCTTGATATAGTTTTGTCTTCTTTCGGTCACTTCCTGTTTGTGGAGAATGTGTTGCAGCATCTTTTCATGCACTGTCATCACCAGAACAGGCTGCAGATGTATTCTCCACTGCCTAGACTTATGCAGCATTAGTATAGATCATTATGCACTGGTGCACTAGTGAGGCCAGGCAAAGTGGTTGAAGTCTCACTTTGTTTTGCTCTAAAAGGTTTCCTCAGGGCATTTTGTCTTGGATAACCTTTGCAGCATTAGCTCTCCATGTACTGGTAACTGTGGTGAACTCAGCTGTTAGATTTACCATTTTGAATGGCATCAATGTTTTCTGTGATGATCTGACTGACACATGTTAGCATGAAATGTGTATTTGGCTCTCTGATGGTCAAGGTGATAAAACTAGTTTAATTGTTTAAAAACTAGTATTGGCTGAGCTTAATTATGCAGGCCACTAGTTTATGATCTGTCATGTTTAGATGTTTGCAATTAGATGTCGCCACCAGGAAGGTTTTGTCTATAAGCCCTAATGATGCAAGTATTTATCATGATAAACCTGCCTTATTTAGCAGTGGCATTATCATCAGGTTGTTCAGAGGGTTTGTACCATGAGTGTATGTTGTGATTGGATGTTAAGTATGGGAGTGCCCCTGGTTTCAGTGCATGGAGTCAGTGTCAAAAGATAGGAGATTTTCTTAGTTGATATTCAACAAAAATGTGAGAATTTTGTTGCTTTAATAGATTAATATTTTTGCACATTTTGGATTGGCTTGAGTTGGTTTGCACTCCAGGTTCTTTCCTATAATGTCCTGTAACTGTTTAAATAGTGGTTGTAAAGATACATAAAATGATCTGTTAGTCCAATCATTCCAAAGAGAATGGTCTGGGAATATTGCAGGATAAGTAGCAGATAGCTGGCATGTCATGTATTCCATTGAATGACAAGTCCGGTTATTTAAAGGCATCTAAGGTAATATGTAATACCATTATGTCCAAAGAGGCTGGTCTGGTAGGAAAAGCAAGCAATATGACTATCTCAATCAAACCCCCAAATGTTAATAATGCTGTGTAAGCAGTTCATTAGGACCTGGACCTGGTTGGTCCTGTTAGCTCAGTCAGTTAAAGCACCTGCCTCACTATCTTCCATCTTTGGAAGGGTGGTTTCAAGTTGCATATGGTGCATATCATTTGGCCTTGCTAAACATGGTGTGTGCTATAGAAGGTTGAGAGTTGAGGATAGAGTGGCATGATTAGGTGTTTTAAAGTGCCTGTCTTCCTGTGACATCGGAGGACAGGGAGATTGTTGGTGTCCACTCAAGGACTGCTAGGGGGGGGGATCTGTGGTTCCAGAAATTGATCCATTAAAAAAAGGTTGGATAGAGTGCTTGTAATAAAAGAAATGCTAGCAGCTGTGACTTTGACAGGTCATTAACATGGGCAAGTGGCTGTTGAAAAACTGAGGTGGTAGAGCGTAGGTAAAAAATTGGGTGTGCATTTGTTGAGCAACATGTAAATTCCAATCACAAATCACACAACAAATTGAGATCACTCAGTTGCTAAAAATATGTCACATGGAAGGCAGTGTTGATATGAGGAATTCACATTTCTGATGTGCTCATCATTTTGTGGAGCAAAGTGTTTCAGCATGTTAATTCCAATCACAGTTCATGGATTTCAACAGACTGATAACCTGATTGTTCAAAAATATGTCATATGGAAAGGAGTGCTGATACCAGCAAGTAGCATTTTTCATCCATTCAGAATTTTGTTTAATTTGGTCTTCATGAACTGAATGATGTTTGCCACCATCTAAAAGTAAGCTTGTGGTGTCACTAGACTGTTATGGGAAACTAACATGTGTGATACACATGTAATATGGCTGAACAATGGCCATTGTTCACTGTGCACCCTTAAGTCAATTTAAACTAATTCAGACCCAGATGGTTTTCATGCAAGTTTGGCTGCTTTTAAGCATTTGTAACATTAGATGTAAGTTCTAATTACATTTCCCTCAGATTCCAGTCATTAATGGGAGTTGTGTACTAGTGGTTGCATCTGTAAATTGCTCACCTGGCTTGTCTGGTTGCAGTGGAGGAAGAAGCGCATGAGGAGGCTGAAGCGGAAGCGCAGGAAGATGCGGGCAAGGTCGAAATAAGATCGGTACGTATTCCAGCTGTGCTGGCCTTGCCATTGGTTAATTGGCAGTTTTGCTATTCAGTATAGATGATGAATTAACTTCGGACACCGCTGACAAACCGTGCTTACAACCATGTTAGCCCCCTGAGTGGCGATGGCCGAACAGCTGTCAGATTTTGTTGGTTGTATTGTGATTTGGGCTGGCCTCGTTTCAGGTTCTCTGCCAAGTGCACGTCGGTGGGTTCTGCCGGGCTCCACAGCTCCTGTACGCGCGTCATATGAAGGCGACGAGGAAACACCTCTCGGGCCAGATGATTTGTGTGGCATCTCTGAACGCTGTCGTGCGCTCTGTGAAATACAGCATTGTTTCTCCACTGTGCACGATGTTTGGTTAACTGCTGAAGGCCAGAAACGCCGATTGTGCGATGCAAACATCAGTAGGAAATGGTGATGGGGAACGTTTCGTCATTACATCTCCGTTTTTGCGCAAAACGTCGCAAGTCACTGACGATGAATTGAGCTTTGATAGATTCATGCCTAGGCCCTTGAATTTCTGTTGAGATTTAGCGGTCACGCTGGTGAGCGGGTCTTAGAGATGGTCGAGGTTGAGACCTGGACGTGGCCCAGAGTTTGGGAAGCGTCACGCTAAGAATGCTTTCAGGTATGTTGAGAAAGAAAGCAGTGGGTGCATTTCCTCCTGGCACGTGCGTCAGTTGCCCAACGTTGGAACGGCCGCGCAGTCAGTTTCTGGTGCCAAAATCTTTTATCTGCTATAAAGGAGTTTCGGTGGAACGCATTTTAAAACATGCGCTCGCTCTAAAGCGCGCGAAGCTGTGGGAACGTGCCTGCTAATTGTGACAACCATTACCGGAACAGAGTTCTCGGCTGCCTTCGTGGCTCAGTGCGCATTGGTGGACCCGCGGGCACAAAGAAACGACCAGCGCGGGGTCCCAGGAAAGGAGCGGAGCTCGCGAAAATGATGTGCATGTGGCGTCGCCAGGCTGTCGGCATGAAATGACGGAGCGGAAGCCTACACATCGGCACTTTGGTCGTAAGGCGGACACCAGCTCTGCAAGTAGTGAATACGCAGTAATATTTACGGCCAGTGGTTTGTCAGAAGGGCGTGCGTCACTGACGTTCTCCATTGGGGGAGGCAGGGACAGTATGCGTTGTAGGCTATTCTGTGGATCGGGAGATTCCTATCCCATTTCTTATTTTTTTAAGAATTGCACTTCGGATTTCGGCTGCTCTTCAAAACAACCTCTTGTTAGGCAAGTACAACTGAATACATCTTGCCTGGTGGTGCTGCAGGCCTTCCCCAACAGGCTGGCGCGAAGTGACCTTAGTAACCGGGCGCCCTGAAACCCCAGTAATAATCGGTGGCTCTTGACTTCTTGAGCACTCGGAATCCCCCCCCCCCCCTATTTTTCATCCTGCCTCGTAAGTACCTGGGAGGGAGCACTTAGGGTCATCTTTATCCTCCGCCCGACGGGGCTTCATGCTGGTTATTGAGGATTTCCTACTGGGGAGTTATTTAGTGTGTGCTTTTCCTGCCCTCTATTTGGTGGATGGTTCTCTGCTTTTTTGCTGGGGCCTCCTGTCGGCGTGATGAGCCTCTTGAACTCCAAGGGTAACGAGCTTTGTTTCCTCCCTTTAACAAATCACAAAGTAGGTGGCCGCCACTTGTCCCCCTACATGACCGGAAAATCGGACTTCCAAAAGTGGGTTGGGGGGGGGGGGGGGGGGGGCACATAGGGAGAATTACGTGGGGCTCGGGCGAAGGAGCTCATCAGCTGATTGCTGGTGCTGTGGTACTCAATTTGGCGCACAGTCGGCAGATCGTAAGCGAGAACATTATTGATGGCCGGATGAGACTTTTCTTTACGGCGAGTGGGATGCTATGGGGGTAAGACTTGAAGCTGGCAAGGAGTTACAACGGTGAGTTTGTTATGAAATTTGGATTGCTTAGACATGACCATTACTATCACATTGCTTTCGTTTTTAAGCTGCGGAGGTTATGCTATTTTTTCCTTTACTTGAGCAAGAACGGTGGAGTGGGCGTGTTCTGGTGGTTTCATCTGATACATCTGACCTCGTTGCCGTCCGGTTACAGCAGGAAATCCCCAGAGGCCTAAGGGTCCTGCATTGGATAAGGTGAAAATGCCAACATGGTGGTTGCCTGCTTAAAGCTGTATTCAACAGGTTCTTTACTTAAAAACATGTATGTGCATGCCATCACAGGGAGGGCACAAACAAGGGGGGTTTTCAAAGACTGCGAGCTGGTCCTCAGAGGCAGTCAATCATTTCCTTCCATGTGCCTCCACAAGCTTAGTGCTTAGATGTCTTAAACATTTGGGAGTGCTCACTCCCTCAAAACCTGTCAACAACATGACATTTTCCATGTAGTCTGCATAGGGTGGCAGCAATATTAACACAATTTTCAGGGCAGGTATAATCCTGCACCACATGGGACAGCTGACCTCTCTACCTGAGGCAAGGGCTCATGATCTGATGGCTGAAGTGGCCTATAAAATGCTTTTCATGATTTAATTTGCACCTGCTAACTTTTAATTTTATATCCCTTGCAGACTCATGCTGGTCTGTAGGGATAGGCTCAGACTTTTTAATTTACCACCACCCAGACTTTGCATCTGCATCTTTGTGTTACTAAGTTGCTGGCATTGTTAAGTGCATCAAACACATTGTTATTCAAAAAGTGCAACATCACAGTTCCTTAGCCACCATGATCACCCTGGTCTTTTTGGCATGCTGTTATTTGCAGCTGGTTAACATGTTCAGCTTAAGAAGCACCACAGCAGGTATGCCAACAAAATGCTTGGGCAACCTCACAGGTTGATAGAGGGGATAGCACCACCAGTTCAAAGTCCTGTCAAAACCTGCCTGATTTCAACCTAAAGCCAAAACCGTAATTCAGGTTGGATAATGGTTTTGCCCCTTTTGACATGCTTCTTACAGCTAAGGCCTGAAACATGGCAGTTAATGGAGTTTCTTTATGTGTGCAGTCTTTTTTATTTTGTTTGTTAACATTTGTTTTGTTTGTTTTGTCATGTTAGCATAGTGAGAATGCATCACAGACATTGCTGTTAGCTGTCCAAACCAAATATGCCTATGACAGGCGGAAAACAGCCATGGGTATCTCACATAAGGTTGCATCAGATTGTTATCAAACATGAGAACAATTGAACTGGGATGATTCAAACCTTATTACTGGGGTATCTTTGGTCAGGTTAGGGCTGTTTTATGCATTTAGAACTATGGGTGCCGCTAGCAGGGTTAATGGGTTGGCATATGTACCCTGTGTGCAATACTGAAGTCTCACAGACCACACCCATTGTGTGTGACTTGTGACAAACTGAGTCAGGACACAGTGGGTTAAGGCTTGTGGGCCCAGACACCATGCCATTATAGCAAGAACTGATCATAATGTGAACTGAAGACAACTACTGTTGAATGACACCTGTCAAAATGCATTAATGCTTTATTGAGTATGACTGTCTGGGGCTAGATACAGGTTCAGTGATGCATAGCATTCATGGTCGAACCTAGAACTGGCTTTACTGTGTGGATAAGCTCATATTTCTTGCAAGCTGCTTGGCATTGAAGTGTTAGAGAAGGCTTTCAGAAAATTGTGCTAGTTGTTGCCAAAAATACTTCACAGCATGGTCAGGAGTTGGAAAGGCACATGGCCCCTCCCGTGCTCCCTCCCCCAAATAGGGTGGCTGGTCTGGTTGGACCTGACTGCTGAAGTCACCATGTTTCCAGTGAGTTAAAGATGAGACAGGCTGAGCCCTCAGCCCTATTCATCATGACTTGGATGGGCTTTGATGGCAAAGGCCAGTCATGAAAGGCTTAATCATTCAGAAAGGTTTCCCCATCTAGCATGCTTGACATGGTATGATGGATGATGACATGGTGTGGTTGTAATTAAAAGCATCAAATCATTATGCTGTATGAGAAGATCCAGCAAGTCAACACCTGCAAGCCCCTTTGAGCATTTCAGGGTGTATATGGCGATGCACATGCTTACATTATCTAGTGCCTGATGTGACGCGAAATGTGACTGACAGGACTTTGGTAGGGGGATCATCATGTGCTTAATGTAGGGCCTGGACGTTGTTGCAGAAGGCATGAAACTATGTTAAAATACAACTGCTGAAAAATTTTGCTTTGCGTCTAGTGGTCACAAAATTATTTCTAGAAGGCTTGAAAAGTCGGAAACTAGGGTTCCCATCCGACGAGGACGAACTTAGCCTACCTGGAGATACCCGTAACTTTGCTAAACCCTCCCTAAACCCCTGTCGTGGGATGGTTTCTGGCTGTTTTCATTGAATGTCGGTAACAGGCTTGAAATATCGTATTTTACTGATATATCGATTAAGAGCACCATCGTAAGATGTAATGTGCCAGGCCATAGTGAAAGGATGTGCGACGACGCGTTTACGGGTCGTCTATCGAACGTCCGTCCAAGCCAGGATACTGTATGATGGTCCCAGCTTTACCCTGGAATCCCAGGCACTTCATACAAAGGAGTAACCTCAGTCTTCGTGTACAAAGGAGTAACCACTGTCTTCTGGTCAATGGGGTCAAACTCAAACGCCACTTGTTCTTGGGTCGAAATCAGTGTGTTTTGCTTCTTTCTGTCAGGACGGTGCAATGGCTGAGGGTGCCATCCACGAGTGGATACAGGAGTGGCAGAGCATCAAGCCAGTGGACATCAAATCAAGCGCGGCCACCCTGATGGCGGACCAGGACACCACGGCGGCGCTGCTCCGGGTGTTCGAGGACCCCAGCCTGCAGCACGTATGTGGCGCGCCCTGGCTCTGACGCGGCGGGCTGTCCGTCGTCTCCGTCCTCTAAGGGTGTTCTGTGATCTGCACGTGTCTGACATCAACCACGCAGCCGATTAGTCCGCTTCAGAACGGCCCATTCCGTGTTGTTCCTCGGTTTATGTGGAATAGTTCCTTCCGTTCCGTTTTCCCGCACGATTGCAATGTTACAACCAGGTGACGTTCCCTGTCTCTGTGACGAGAGGGAGAAACTGAGATCACACCCATCCCCCAGCTGTCCAGGCCGGTCGACGTCTCCGCCGGCTTCGCCAGCGCAGTCCGGTGCCCTTGCCGGCCCCTCGGCCGCGCCGGCGCTCTGCTGGACGGTCGGGCCGCCGCTTGGCTGCGATCCGACGCCGCTCCGCACGTCATTCCGACGCCTATTAAACATCCGATCGGGCAGAGGTCGGGCTTCCGTTTGGCTCCGTTTCAACTCGACTTTCGGCATGTGTCTGGCTCCGTTCCGGCGCTGTCGTTACGCTCGTCCCGCTCCGTTGCAGCTGCTGGACAGCGTGTGCGGCCAGCTGCTGACGTTCTACCGCTCCCGGGAGCCGAACCTGCTGCACTTCAGCCTGCAGTGCCTTCCGCCGCTGATGCACGCCTACCTGAACGCCGTCGCCACGCGGGACCGACAGGTGGGGGGCAGCGGGCGGCGCGGAGTGCCGGCGCGCCTGTAGAATTGTGGTGGGGGGGGGGGGGGGGGGGGGCACTGGGGAGCGTTGTCCGGATGTGCGACGTGGCTTGGTACATTTAAGAAGGCATCAGACGGACTGAGATAGAGTTGTACATGTTATTCGTGGTCGCGGCTTGTGACAGATGCAGAGCGCCAAGTGTGATGCACAGTCGTGCAGATGAGGTGGGTGATTGTGGTGGCAGGGCGCTCGTGTTGACTGCTGGGCTCTGTAAAAGCTGCTAAGGTTGGTAGACAACAGCCATGCCACTGTGACTGAACAAGTCCGACTGGCCCAATGTCCATTGGCCGAATGCATGTGATCAGCCTTAGTTGGTCTCTCTCGGCCGGATCTGACCCGACTATGCCAGGGCTGAGTCTTGTGGGGTCTCGCCAGACGCGACTGCTCCTTTTAAATCTCTTGACAGTTCCACTGTGTATGCTTACACGTTCAGAATGGTTCAGCCCATCCGAGCTGGTCTGTCCTGCCCGACCTGACCTGACCTGACCTGACTTGCATGGCTTGAACTGTTCTGACCCAACTATCCTACCAGCCTGCTCACCCACCTTCATGGCTTAACCCGAATGACACGCACGACCTGAACTGACATTATCTTACTTACGTGACCTGACCTTGCCCACCTGTCGTCCCCGCCACTAAAGTGTCAAGAATGTGACGGCGCTGTTGAAAATATATAGCCTGGGGTGATGACCTGACCTGACCTTAAGTGCACACCTCACCGCAGACCTGCCAGGCGACCGAGGCGCTCCTGCTGGGCATGTACAACCTGGAGGTGGTGGACGAGCGCGGCCAGCCGAGAGTCGTCTCCTTCCGCATGCCGACTCTCATCAAGCAGTCCGTCTACCACGAGGTCAGGCGCGGCGGCGGCGCCGGGTGACCTCTCACTCCCGTCGACCGGCCGTCCCGGGCCCCGCCAGACGGGTTGTTTGTGTGGCGTTGCGTGTAGCAAGCGGCGATGTAGCGTGACGGCGGTGCATGTTCGTGCAGAAGTAGCTCGGCTGTCCGGCCTGTTTTTCGCTCGAAGTCTGAGGAGGAGGAATCAGGCGATTTGTGTTTGTTCGTGTGGGGGATTGGATATGGTGCAGCTAGCGGCGCGGTATTCCGTGACAGCGGACGATGATATGGAAGCTGTCCTTGGTAGACGCAGTAAGAGAACAAGTCAACAAATTTGTGGATTAGTTTGCAGTTTGAAGTAGATTTGTGGATAGAAATTTGTGGTTTAGTCGCGTCCTTGGGGCACCGCGGCTGCGTGATCGGCTGTCATCGACTGCGACACGTTAGCGACATAGGTCGCGTCCACGCAAATTTAAAATCCACGATTCTTCGTCAGCTGCATGCTCACCACGCTGTGCTGACCGTTCGCTCCGAGCGGCCGCAGTGCGCTAGCGGTCAGCGGTGAGCCGCGGCGCCGCCGCCGGCCGCGCGCCCCCTCCGACGACAGCCTGTGTGTTGCAGCCGCTGCACATGGCGCCGTCCAGCCTGACCGAACACTCGCTGTCGCGGCTGGAGCTGGGCGACGCCTTCTCGGTCAAGTGGGGCCCGCTGCCACAGGTGAGCAGCGGTGGCGGCCCCCCGGCGGCCCGTCACACTGCCGGGCGGCAGCGGGGCGCGCCCGGAGCTCGGCTGCCGCGCTGATGGACTACAGGGCCGTCCCGAGAGGTGGAACGGTGAAACCCTTTGTTGAAGGCTGATCCTCTCCGTGCACTACCTTAGGGTAATTAATGCTAAGCTTTCGCCAGTAGTAGAAGGGTCGCTGCTGCCCGATTTATGTCTTCCTCACGGGAATCTGTTATGTCAGGCCCAGTATTACTTTACAATTAAAATGCTAATGCCTGTGGATCGTCATCCGTGCAAAAGTCATCTGCGGAAAAGCGCGTCCTTCGAGCCCATCGTATCCGCGCTCGCAACAATCGTAACCGTCGCACCGCCTCTCGATTGCTGCGTTTCGGTCCGCCCTTCACCGGCCGTGCCGCCCCTCCCCACTCCGGCGCCCCTCTCACACCCTCCGGCGCCGACGGCAGGCGAAGACGGTGCGCGCCGCCAACCGCCAGCGCATCCTGACTGCGCTGATGACCGTCTACAATCGGTACCTGAGTCAGCTGTCGGCACCGGCGCTGCAGGCCTGCTGTCGGGCCATCATCAGGTGCGCGGCGCCGGCGGCGGGCACTGGGAGGGACTCCGGGGCGGGGAGGGTGTGAGGAGGGGAGGGGGCTCTGGGGCGGAGTGGATGTGAGGAGGGGAGGGGCTCTGGGGCGGAGTGCATGTGAGGAGGGGAGGGGCTCGGGGACGGAGTGGATGTGAGGAGGGGAGGGGCTCGGGGGCGGAGTGGGTGTGAGGAGGGAGGGGAGAGGAGGGTGACACTTGTGGGAGGTGGGAAACTTGGCAAGAGTTAGAGCGGTCGTGCTTCAGAAATAGAGTTTTAAGTATCCTAGAAATGTTATTTTGTATTTCAAAAACGCGCCATAAGCATGACACGTTCTAAATTGAAAATATAATTGTCAAGTGCATTTGTGTGAGCAGTTACCAGCTCCTCTATGCTTACACGCAGTGCCTCCACCTCGTTATGTATGGAGTATTCATTTTGCTGATTTATAGTGATCCATATGGCTAGAAGGAAACGTAACGACTCTGCCCTCTATTTCCAAAAACGTTTAGAATCATTCGGTGAAAAGTTCTCCGTATTCGTGTTTCGCCCGATCTTGCGGGGCGAGAGCTACCAACCCCGAGTGCTCCCTATGTTCCGCTGTGCTGGAGGCTGGCCCGGCGCCGCGTGTGGACGGGCCTTTGCCACGGGGCCGCTGTCGGCCGGCAGGATATGCGGCCAGGGGTTCGCCGCCGCGTCCCCGCTGCCGCCGCGGCTCAGCGTGTCGCCTGAGCTGCAGCTGGAGTTCCTGCACGCTGTCTACTTCATCATGTGAGTGGGTCGGAGTGGCCGGGGCGGACGCCGTCGGTGTCCGCCGCACGCGCCCGTGCGGGACGAAGCGGGGCGCTGGAGAGGGTCTGACGGGAGGGCGGACGCCGTCGGTGTCCGCCGCACGCGCCCGTGCGGGACGAAGCGGGGCGCTGGAGAGGGTCTGACGGGAGGGCGGACGCCGTCGGTGTCCGCTGCACGCGCCCCTGCGGGACGAGGCAGGGCGCTGGAGAGGGTCTGACGGGAGGGTGGACGCTGTCAGTGTCCGCTGCACGCGTCCCTGGGGAACAAGGCGGGGCGGCTGGTAAGGTTCTGACGGGAGGGCGGACGCCGTCGGTATTCGCTGCACGCGCCCGTGCGGGACGAGGCGGGGTGCTGGAGAGGGTTTGACGGGAGGGTGGGCGCCGTCGGTGTTCGCTGCACGCGCCCCTGGGGGGACGAGGCGGGGCGCTGGAGAGGTCCTGACGGGGAGGGCGGATGCTGTTTGTGTCCGCTGCACGCGCCCCTGCGGGATGAGGTGGGGCGCTGGAGAGGTTCTGGAGGGAGGGTGGACGCCGTCGGTGTTCGCTGCACTTGCCTCTGGGGGACGAGGAAGGACGGCTGGTGCTGTTGTGGTGGGGAGGGCGGCTCGGTTCGGGATTCTTGGCGTGGTCTTGCACTCCTGGGACTTTGGAGGGGATGACATCCACTGGGACCTTCCCACGGCACGGGTGCAGTCAGTTCTTGTGCGCGGCGGGCACGAAAACGTGTGTTGTGTGAATCAACCGATCTTATTTTTGCAGTAGTTGACTTATTGCTGTACATGACCCATAGCGTACTTTGTCTGAGTCAAAAAAGATTGCGTTTCTTTTCCATTATCTTTCTATTAACATGGCTATAGCAGGTCATTTTTGATGATTCTCACACGAAGTATGTCGTACCACTCGCCAATTGTTCGGTGCCTGCAATCAAGACATGGCGCCGGTTTGTCGGCCAATTATCTGTTTGATTGGGGATGAGTATTACGTCCTTTAATTGTCTGTGGCTTTGATACTTTATTATAAGGATCGCAAACGAAGGGTAAGTTTTGCTCGCGTCTGATTTTTTTCATTGGACATGGAGAATAGCTCGGTCGTTGTTAGTTGTTTCCGGTGGTTAGGCAGTGATCGAACATTTCCAGCACTTGGGATAGAAGAGGAGCAGGCCGGTGGCCACGGTAACCTTCACTGTCTCGGTGTGGTTACTGACGAAACTTGAAGGCGTCTGTGAGCGGTGGGTTGAAGACAGCACGCTCATGGCCAGTGTGATTAATCTTTGACTTTGCGAAGGCTTCGATGCGACGGGTTGGCGTTAGGTTTGGGTGGTCGCGATTCTCGCGTGGGTATCCAACAAACAGGGCTTGATGGCCGTCCATTAATTATTCCGCGTGGATGGGGCGTTGATGGAGCGTAAAAGAAGCATAACATGAGAGGAAAAAGGTTTTCGGCAGCGTAGGGCTACGCTCCTTACGCTCTTTAGAAATCTTATAGTCTTAAAGCGGGATACCGTTGGTATCCTCCCATGACGGGAACTGTTATATGCTTCGCACCTCCAGCTCAGTTGGGGGTCAAACGGACGCTACTTTCTGGGGACGCTACGCTTCACGCGGCGTAGCTAGGGGAACAACTTCGTAGTGTTACCTGTGCGAAACCAAGGAGAGGGAGGACTGAAAATGTGCAAAAAAGCGTAATGTAAGTTGTTGACCACCAATTGGTGTCTCTCCTCCAATTGTCACCAAAATAAAGCGCGTACCAAGCAATGCCCAGTACGCACTCCCTGTGGCCACAAACCACAGCCCGTCCCGCCCCGATCCCAGCTCTAGACCGAGACCCGGGGTCTCGCGGCTGGCTGCCCCCCCCCCCCCTCCCCCCCTCCCGCCAGGCCTGCCGGCCGAAACCGCGGGCGTGCACGGAGCCCGCGACGTGTGCTGTGTTAGCTAACCGAAAGGGGCCACCCGTCTCGGTCGCCGCGCCGCGCGCGCGGTCGGAGCCGGCCGGCTGCCGGTCTCCGACCGTCACGTGAGGTGACGCCGTCACGCCGGCGGCGCGCTGCATGGTCGCTGGCGGCGGCGCGCGCGCGAGCCGGGTGGCCCCGGAATGTGCGTTCTGCGTAGCCGTTGTCCGCTGGACTGTCGCGAGGCCTGAATGTGAACGCTGACTCGTGCCTCGGTAGCCGCGCGCGCGCGTGTTGTGTTTTGTTGTGTTGTGGCGGCCGCGCGCCTCGACCGCCCGTGACCGCGGCGCCGGCTCGGCTCGTGTTGGGTGTGGCTCGTGCGGGCTGGCCGGGGTTCGTGCCGCGCCGCCCCGCCGCTGCGCGGGTTGGCCGCGGCCGGTGGCGCGCCCAGCCAACGGTAACGGCAGCAGCAGGCGCATAAATAATTGGCCCACTCGGTGGACTGTGGAGGCTTCGTGGCGCTTTGCTGTGCTCTGGCACGTTTCAGGTTGAATTCGTCTGAAATGCTAATGAAAAACTATAGAAGGGCCAGGCGCCAGACTTGAACAAAAGAGTCCCGTTAGCCGTAGAAGTTTGCTGCGAAAGCCTGACTTTGCATTTACGTGCATACGTCCTTCAACTGAAAGTGCTATCGCTTTTCTTATTTGACTCGCAGCTAGCGACTTTTGCTCAGCCCTGCGAGCAGCCGCGCCTGCCGTGGGGTGAGTGCTCTCCAGCGGGCTGCGACCGTGCGAGCTGCGCGCACCGCCGCCCGGGCCAGCTGTCTCGCCGCTGCGTGTCCCGTGAGACTGACGATGCATCTGCGCTGTGTGTTGTGTGCGTGTGTGTGTGCTGTCAACAGCCGTGCATGTCGGCAGACTGGCGTATCTGCCGCCCGCCGGCGGCGTAGTTAGGCCGGTCTGGCGCGCAGAGTCGGGCATGCCTGTGCCGCATCTGCCCGCCGCTCAGCTAACCGCACGTGTTCTCTGCCCGCTCCGCCCTGCCCTGCCTGCCCCTCCTGCCCCGCCGCCGCCGCCGCTGCCGCCGTTCCTGCCCACCCAGAACGCCGTCCCTGCACCTGGACCCCAGCGACCCCGCCTATACCTACTGCAGGTACGAGCAGGTGACGCCGGCCGCCACGCAGGCGCTGGAGGCGGTCGCCTTCCGCGGCCAGTACGAGGTCAGCGCGCGCGTCATCGTCGCCGCCAACGCCATGCGGAATTCGCTCAACATCTCGCCCGCCGGTGAGGAGGGCCAGTGGGGGCACGTGCGCCCTCTGGTGCGTCGGGGGAGGGGGTGCTTTGAGAGTGTAGCCTTACGCTATCAGTTGTGTAAATCATGAAGCACACTGGGCCCTGTTTGAGTGCCTGCTGGAATTGTTGGCAGACTGATTCGCGAGCTACAGTAATGTTCATCAAACTCGGCTTCCTGACCACGGGGTCGGCATTCATAGTTCGATGCATGAACTAGAGAATTTCACTTGATTATGCGTAAGCCAGTTCCGGGGCTGTGGTCTCGGTTATTTTTAAGTCTGTGGACGGTCCTCTGGTCCATGTAATCTACTTCGTGAATAGTCTCGTTGTAACTTTTTTTTGCATTTCACATTTTGGATCCTCCTGTGCTCCGTCACTGCTGTCCGGATTTTGGGTGGCTTCGGTCCTCGTTCAGGTGGCATTGCTCCTGTTAGCCTCTGGCACAAGGTTCATGGATTACTCTGGCCGTCAACAGGTCTGACCGACAGTCAGCTGAACCTCAGCGAGATTCCATCCGTGACGTCACTACCTTCCGTGAACAAATTCATCATCACCAACGCTTCTTTCCGTACGAAGAAGCTACCAGGTGCGTCTTGTCGATTGCGTGCTGCCAGCATGAGAATGCAAACGTGCGTGCTTCGTTCGACTGGTGCCATGTAAAAAGGCGGCTGTGGCGCCCCACAGCTCACACTAACATCTGGTTCGCTATTCACTGTTCAATTCGTTAGATAATTTTGTTGACGCCGTACGCACTGGTGTTTGCGTTGCCGCTCCAAGCGTCGGTTTTGAAATCGAGAGGTCCTGGTTCAATACTCAGCTGCAGCAGTTTTTCGTTCCCAGCTTGTTGACCCAACCGTTACCTGTGTGGGTAATAACACGGCAGTCGCTCTCAACTGATGCAAAGGAATGGATCAGGAGTCAGCGGGTCCAGCTTCGCGGCTGTTCGCTTGTTCAGTGACTGTTTTGCTTCCATTACTGCGTCGCTAATCGCCATGTTTAATAACCTATTGGTATAGCTGAATAGATGAATGCGTTTGTGCAGATTTATTTCTCTATTTTGCCGCGCTGTATGTGTTTCTCTGTTCCGCTTGCGATCGCCGACTGCGTAGAAAGGGATGATTGTTTCGTCTTGTTTCTACAAGCATTTTCAACTTGACGCCATCAACTTCGAGTGGAAGGCGTAGTGTAGAGTTGCTTTCCCGATCGTTAGAGGAGTGGAAGTGTCGGCGGCGAATTGTGTTCATTGGTGCATGGCGTTTTCCGCACTTTTCTATGCATTAGCTCGAATGGAGGTTCGCTCCACTCTCGTTTGGCTGGAAAATATGCTTTTGACCATTTTGCTTTTCCGCGGGAGGTATTGCACATGTAATAGATGTGGACCCGCTTTACTGTGATGCGGTGTTATCTCGTTGGCCGACAACATCCACACTGTCAGCCTGCTGTGCTGTCATGGTACGCTAGGGTTGATCCCGGTGCCACGTGATCGTGAACCACCTGACCCCGACCGGAATCTGTTGCTGACAAGATATGATGCCTGTTCGGGGTCGTATTTTGATGCTGGCGCTAACCATTTCTACGCGCTCTCCTGTTTTGGGCCATTTCCTTAGTTTGCTCAGATCCCTGTCTTCATCTTATTTTAGTTTGTTCACATAAATTAGTACATTTGATCGTGAGTCCTGTCTTGATACCCATTTACCAGATGTCCCGGTTCCTATCCTTATCGCGGTCGGCGGCGTCGCCTTGTTTCAGAGCAACTTTCCATTTTATCCTGATTCCCGGTTAGATCCTCGGTTCCGATCGCTGTCCGTATCCTGATCCTGATCCTGATCCCGACCGGCACCTGTTTTCAGAGGACATCGAGCCACCCAGCAACGGCTCCTCGGAAGCCGGCGGCGCGCGCGGCCCGTCGCCGTCCTCGCCGCCGACCGCCGCCGCCGCCGCCGCCCGCCAGAAGCTGCACGCCGCCATCCGCAAGATCCGGCGCCGGATGCGCTTCCGCCGCATGCGCTCCGACCGCGAGCTGGAGCCGGCGTGGGAGTCGCCGGAGAGCAGCAGCGGCGGCGACGAGCCGGCGGCGGCCGAGCCGGACCCGCCGCCGGCGGTGCCGGTCGCGCCGGCGTCCGACAGTCACGCGCACGGCGTCGTGTCGGCCGACAGCTTCCAGTGGATCCTGACGCCCGAGGAGCACCACCAACTGCAGCAGTGGCGCGTCGGCCGCTGGAAGTGCCTGTCCAACGACTTTTCGCTGCGGAGGAGCCGCTCGCAGCGACGCGACACCGAGGAGGAGGCGGCGGGGCGCGACGGCGGCCGGCCGGGCGGCGCCGCGGCGCGGGAGGAGCGGCACGGGGTGGGCGCCCCGCAGGAGCGGCTGACGGTGGCGGCAGCGCTGGAGTCGGCGCCGGCGCCGGTGCTGACCTCCTCCTCGTCGCAGGATCTCTCCATGTACAGCGCGTCGGGCAGCGTGGCGCGTTCCGAGTCGGACACGTGACCTCGGAGGGACGTGGCGCCGCGACCACCGCTGGATCACGTGACACGGCCAGCAGAGCGGGGTGCGGCGCTGCTGTCGGCGGACCACGTGACACGGATGGCCAGGAGAAGGGCAACACTTCCGCGGTATCGGCCCGACAAGCCGTCTCTACCACGGCAGCCGTCTCTGGACCACGTGACAAGATCGTCCAAGCAGGACTACGCCAATCTTCGCACCGCTTGTCGTGGTTGTCCGAAAACACGACGTTTGCCTCGCGACACCACGTGACCTGTCCTTGTGAGCATGCAGTTGACGTGTTGACCCCACGTGACCCGACCCGCCGGGCAAAGCGTGGGCCTCCCCGGTGTGTCATTACCTGATGTTTCGAATATCGCGCCGGACTGAACACCACGCGTCGGTGACCTCAGCAGGGCGGTGGCGGCCTCATCACGGGCACGTGATGGCGAGGCTCTTCTGTGACGTCCGTCCGCCTGTTGCAGACGACATTCCGATCCAGCCGGGCGTCGACCGAGATGGCGAGGCGCTGACGGCCATCTCCGAGCAGAACGAGGAGGAGCCGTGCGACGCGCCGGCCGGCAAGCTCAAGCTCAAGGATCGCAAGCACCGGCCAGCCGAGCGCGAGCGCAGCGGGCCCGACAAGCACGTGACGGCCATGCTGGCTGCGCTGCCCGGCCTTGTGAAGAAGCGCGCCGGCGACGGCGGCGACAAGAAGCGGCCCGACGGCGGCGGCGGCGGCGAGCGCGGCTCGCGCAAAGCGGTCGGTGGCGGTGGCGGTGGTGGTGAGCGGCGCGGTGACCGGCGTCGCCCGGCCGCCAACGGCGCCTCCTCTAGCGCGCGCAACTCGCTGTCGCTGAACGGCGAGGAGGCGGCCGACTGGGCGGCGCCGCCGCTGGCGCGCATCGACGCCATCGAGCTGCGCGTGGTGAGCTCGGGCTCGGAGAGCGCCACGCCGCGCCGCGAGCGCCGCGAGACGGACAGCTCTTCCGTCACCAGCACGGCGTCCGAGGAGACGGCGACGACGCTGCCGGCGCGTGCCGAGCCGGCTGTCGGGTTCGTCGCGCGGCGCGAGTCGCAGGCGGTGTCGACGGCGCGCTCCACGGATGTGTAGGCCGACGCGTTCTGCCTGTCGGTGCGGCTGCGCAGGTGGTTCTGCTCATGTTTGCTTGTCGTGTTTAGTCTGTCGCGAGCGGCGGCGCGGAGCCGCTGCCGGGTGGTGCCGGCGGCGCGGTTGTCTAGCTGTGTCACAAGCATACCAAAGAGCGTCGGTGAGGCCGCCGTCCGCCCCGCGGGCCGCTGGTGGGCGGGATCGACCCGAGCCGAGGGGCTCCGTCGTCGCGAGCGCCCGCCGGCCGACCACGCGGCCGCGGCAGCTGGGCCGCTGTCCACGCGCCGCCCGCGTCTACCGAAATAATGCGGCTGCAGCGGGAGGCGCTGTTGGCGGTCCGCGCGGGACGGCGGCGCCCCGTGAGAGCGGAGGGGGCGGGTGCCATACGGGATGCGCCGCGGTCGGATGGAGCCTGCGGAAGGGAGCAGTGCCAGGGGAGGACAGCGCTCGGGAGGCGCTGTTGGCGGTCCGCGCGGGACGGCGGCGCCCCGTGAGAGCGGAGGGGGCGGGTGCCATACGGGATGCGCCGCGGTCGGATGGAGCCTGCGGAAAGGAGTAGTGCCAAGAGAGGACAGCGCTCGGGAGGCCACATTCGCGTCGAAGCTAGGCGTTTAGAGCCACTGGAGAGTCGGGAGACTCTTCGGGGAGGTTGGCGGGTGGTAGTCGGACGGTTCGCTGCAGCGGAAGGAAGGGAGGTAACGCTGTTTAATGCTCGGAGGCATGGGATCGCCCGGGCCAGGTTCTCCGCCGTTTGGCACGGGAAGACGATAAGGCGATTTCCTGCGGGCAGCTTCATGCGTGCGAGTGCCCTGCTGCGACCGACACAGTTCGGGCACGTATGGGGACGAGACCAGGCTGCTGGCATAAGCGGCGCTATTATTCGTGCGTTATCCGGTGTCCGTTATCGTCCGTGTCCTAATCTTCCAGTCGTGGGCGATTCGCCCTGTGGTAGATGGTCTAGTCGCTGGCTGGTGGGCTGCCCTGTTTGTCTGTGGTGGCGAGTGTCCGGAGAAAGCGGGGGGGGGGGGGGGGGCAAGGGGGAGAGCCAGTACGATCGCGGTTTATGAGGTTGGTCCTTTGTCAACGCCCATGCTTAGGTTTCTCTTCAGCGGCGTTACTGCTTTTAGTTGTGATTTATTTGTGCTGCCACTATGCACCGATTCGTGATATCGTATTTGTTGTACACCAGAAAGTGGGTGATGCGCGGGCATATGGGCTGCTTTTTATCTGTACGTTTTGTTGCCTGGCCATATCGACCACCCGCTGCTTCGGCTCCGACTATGCCATATTCCGGTAATTGGGTGTGTAATGTGGGCGCGGGTCAGATGTTACTGCTGCGCGCTGCGGCTTCCGCCGAGTGGGCGCGGGCCCGGGTCGCCGGTGGTGCTGTTCATTCCGGTGGCGGCGTCGCCACTCTCTGTTGCCAAGCCGCGTCGGCAATAAACCCGCTGTATTTGATGGTCTCTGTGAAGGTCGCGGTCGAGGCTGGCGGGCTAGCTGAGCGCCACGCCTGCGGTGGCGAGGAAAAGGTGGCTCTCGTTGCGTGCGGAATAGGATGATTCTGGAGTTGCTGGTAATCCAGTCCCGTTTGCTGGGAGGAGTCAAGCACGCACGGCCTGACGTGTTTGTACAGTCGAGAGTGGTGAGTGGATGTGAGAAAGGCAGAGCTGGCGAGAAAACGTTGCCAGCTCGACGGGGTTAGAAAAACAGGCCTCGAGCAGTCTGCTGGTATGGCCGCTTGAGGCGCGTCTTTCATGGTATGATTTTGGCCATGATCACAAACAGTCGGAGTTTTGCCTGGATTGGCCAACAGCCGTTGTGCCGGAGCTTCGCCAGTCCGACCAGCCGGTACTTTAAATAGCCAATAGTCAATATCAACAACAATAGCCAGGTCACCGACAACGGGCCTCTCCCCTATTCCGATGGGATTTGCATACGGCCAAGGTCGTCGGTGGCGTCATCACTTGTGACGTATATTCTTCGTGACGTCATGGGACGGACCCGAGACGAACGTGACTCACGCAACTAGTGTACTGTGGCATCAGACTGCCTCAGTGGGCTGTCGCGTATATTGCGGAGTGACAGGAGCGCAACACGCCTTTGTTCACCGCTGCACTCCCGTCTTTGGAGTTAGGTAGGTGAGTGTCGACCTTGATATTTGTCAGTCAGCTGTGCTTGCAATTGTAACCGCTAACGGGGCTGAGCATAAAAAAGTTGCGACTGCCTTGTCTTGGCCGATAAATATATATTAGGCATGTGTTTGTGAGGTACGGATTTCTGAATTGCATCATCGCATTTTGTCGATGGTTGAAAATGCAATATGGCAGGTGTATACTGTGAAACTGAAAAATCTTCATTCTAGTAGCTTTCCACACCAGCACATCTTGTCATTCTTCACCGTGGCCCGACTGCCAAAGATGCATGTTGGCAGCAATTTCAGTACATGTGCATTGTTAAATGTTCAGTTTGGTGCATGGTTGCCACCTTTTTCAGTGCACAGATCCTTATGTTCCATGAAAGTATGATATTGTACACATTTCAGATTAAAATACTCCAAAAGCATTCCAATGCATACCATTTGTAACCTGAGCAACAATCTTGGTGGTGATGAGTTGTGGCAACATGATGCTGATGCACCTTACCTAGATGTCTGGTGAAGTCAGTGTGTTTTTTGAAGACTTGCCCAATGGTTATTGGAAACACACACTTACATGGGCAGAAATGTAGGCAAGGGCAGGGTTGCAAGTGTCATTATCCTTACCAAGCTATAAACATGTAAGTTAAGTGATGCGTGTGAACAGCTAGAAGAAGTTAACATGATGTGGATTCAAAATATAACACTCTTGCTAAATCACAACAATTCAAACAAATTAACAGTTCTGGTCAATCCTGCTTATGAACCATTAAGTTAACAGGTGGCAGATGACTGATGGCATCACATACTAAACAAAGTACCATAACAAGGTTGACATCAGCAGTTAGTTGAGGTTTCAATCTAAACAGGTGAAGTGAAAAGTTCTGATTCATGTTACCAATGTATGTTGAATGTGTTGTGACCTGGTCACTATGTTGAAGTGATCAGTCACATAAAGGACTGATAAAAACATCTGATCCAGCCATGTGTCATATTTGTTAAATTGCTTTCAGTAGCTTGGAATGGTTTTGAAGTACAAGTTTTCATTGTACAGTGCTTCAAGTTTCAGTGCTAGTTTTACAGCGTGCTAGTTTTTAACAGTGATTTGGCTTGATACAATCATTATTTGGCTAGATACTGAACAGCAGATAATTGCACCACTTAGCCAGATAATATCTGGTGAATCTCTCATCATAGCTATTATCATTCATGTTGGCCATTTTCAGTTGTCAAGATGGCTTCGATCTACCCTTCACTTGAAGACATGAAGGTGGACCAGATGGCCCAGGTATGGACTTTCTCTTATTTTAAAATTATCATGTTGATGACACAAATTTATGTGTTCAAGTTATGTGACTTGCCTCTTCAAAGTATGTCATGGTTTCCCAGCATATGCAGCTAGTGGTATGTCTGATAACAAGGGAAGTGTTACAAGTCAATTGTGGTATGACTGGCTCTCCAACCAAGTGCATGTCTGGCTCATCCTGTGTCTAAATGTCCAAGCAATGAACACACAGCACAGGGAGTGGTCAGTCATCTACAGTTGGTGGGTTGGATGTGCATGGGGTCACTTGATGTGACTTCTCTGAAATCTGATGGCAGGATTAAGTGACATACAATGGGAGAAAACATTGAGAAAGAAGGTGTGTGTTCCATGCTGACACTGTGTACTAGCACTTTATGTTTAGGTCCATGTTGACTTAGCTGATTGGCAAGGGCTATGGTGAGGGCTGGTATTCAAACACCATGATGGTCCAGATAATGTTTAGCATCAAGGTGTTCTCAACTGGATCTCAGCTGCCTGTCCTCTGTTTCACTTGTCCTCAGATATGTGTTAATCAAAGACAGTGCTCAGAGCATGCAAGCATCCTCCATAATCCAGAGTGGCTAGTATGTACTGCATCCTGAGATGCAGCCTCAGATGATGTTGGGCACTGCGGTGATCCAAGCTTGCTCTGCCACATTGACCTGAAATCAGCGGAGAAGGCTATGGTGGTCTTTAACAGACACAGCTGGCACTTGGGTGGAAGCTCATTCTCATGGCTCTGGTCATTGAGAAGATTGGGCAATCTGCAAAAACATGTTTGATGGGAAACATTTTTGGTGCTGAGGACAGTCTGGCAATGTAGCTGGAAAGGCCCAAGCTCCCAGCTGTGTCATCAAGGATCAACAAGATGAGCATGATGACACTGCAAGTTGTAGAGTCCTCAACATGCTTTCTGAAGTCCAGCTGTTAGGGTGGCCTCACTAAATAGCAATTAGTTTCCAACCTTCTTATGGCAAATGCTGCTGCAGCAAGTGCCATGAATCTCATCTCACAGACCATGTCACATAGACTATATTGCATATAATGAAAGATGACCCTGAAAGGCAACACCTTCTGCTGTTGGTGGAGGAACATCTCAAAATATAGCTGAACACTTAGATGTCCACAAAACTGTGTTGTTGAAATTTGCTTCTTAAGAGACACATTTAAATTTGGAATGAGTGAAACTGTTTTCAGTTGACAGCTCATTGTTTTCAACTTTTCAGATGCATAGTTGAAGCATCAGAAGTTGTTGTCGTAGTGGCATCTGTGATTGGGAACATAGCAAAGGCAGGGCCTTGGCCCCAAAAGCCAGGAGCTTTACACCAAGTAATGGGTGGTTTCATATAGTTTGGTATAAAATCATAGGAATTGGGGGACAATTTGATGCCTCCCCCTCTGAACAGAACTTTGTCTGCGTGCCTGTCCGCGATGAGCCCGCACTGGCACTGGTGCCGCTCTCGGGCCGGCGTGCTCGACGGGAGCCTTTGTGACCCAGCATTGTGTGGCGCCCCGTCAGGCGGAGCGGGCCCAGTCGGGCGACACCCCGAGCTCGCTGCCGTACCCGACGCGGCCGCTCATGCCGACGGCGCCCGGCCAGGAGCAGTTCGCCCACCTCTACCCGTCGCTCAGCGACTACATGGGCCTGGAGCTGACGCCCGAGCTGGTGGCGCAGCTGGAGGACCAGGAGAAGCAGGTGGCGCTGCAGCAGCCGGTGAGCGCGCCGGGAACGGTCCCGGGGACGCTGTTTGCGGGGCGCGGGCCAGGCGCCGTTCGGATCGATCCTGGTGGGATTGGTGGCTGAGTCCGGCTTAGGCATCCAGCTGGTGTCAATTATGGCCCCGGCTTGTAATCAGGCCCTGGGATATGACTGTTGACGCAAAGTGTGATGAGTGTTATGCCGCCAGGTGAAATTATGTTTTATCAAATTAGAGCATAAACGCAGCTGGCTTTGTAAACGTGTGCTCTTTTTGAGTGACTCCTCCTTAATGCTCCCCAATTGTATACTGATTTACACACAAGCAAAATATATTGTCTGGCCCGATGTACGACCGCGGCCGGGTGCCTTCCGCAGCTGCCGTGCCGGGCCCGGTGTGGCGCGGCCCTGGTCTGACGTGTGCCGCCGCGGTGTGTTCCGCAGTCGGGTCTGGTGCCGTCCGCGTCCTCCACGCACGGCTACCAGCTGGTGGCGCCCATCTCGGGCGCGTCGGGCGCCCTGCAGAAGGCCGCCGTCAGCCACGCCATCCGGGAGGTACGTCCTTGCTTCTTGCCTGGTGTTTAGTGTCGAGTGGCATGCTTCCTGTGTTCCGTGTCCGTTGTCCGGCGTCCTGTTTCCGTTGTCTGGCGTCCCATGTTCGTTGTAAGGGATTTCATGGCCGTTGTCCTGCGTCCCATGTCCACTGTGCGGCGCTACATGTCCGTTGTCCGACGCCCCATGTTCGTTGTAAGGGGTTTCATGGCCCAAGTCATGGCCGACGTCCCAGGTCACCTCTTGTATTCCGTGTTATGCCTCGTTTCCGATGTCACGTTCCGTGCCTTTTGTCATGTTCCATGTCCGATGTCCCATGTCCCACGTCCCATGTCCCATGTCCGATGTCCCATGTCCCATGTCACGTCCATGTCCTATGGCACATCCCGTGTCTTTTGTCACGATCCATCTTCCATGTCACGTCCCGTGTCTTACGTCACGCCTCATGTCATATGGCACGTACCATGTTCCATATCACGTCCCGTGTCCCATGCCACGTGTCGTATGTTCCGCTTCCACAGTACCTGTCCACGTCCAGTGTCCCGTGTCCTGCTTCCTGTGTTCATGTCCAGTGTCCCGTGTCCCGCTTCTCGTACGCATGTCCAGTGTCGCGCGTCCCGTGTCCGACATCCGCGGCTGTGGTATTTGTCGTCAGGACGGTGTTTCCCGTTGTCCGCGGTAGGGCAGATCGTGCTTACTCTCGTTTGGCGGCCGCGCGGAAGACCGACTTGCACGCCGAAGGGCCAGAATCCCTTTCTTTTTAAGCCAATGCAAGCCCAGTCCTTGCTCCGGGGTGAGCTCACTCTTTACCTTCAACGTCACGACCCAAGCCCACTTCGTACTCGGCCGAGAGGCGAAGCGAGTGCGTCTGTTCAGAAGTTAGTCGTCGGTGCTGACATAGCAACGCAGAGCAACGGTCAATGCGCTGTTGACGGCCTGGTATGTCCGGCAAGCAGGCAGGTCTCGATCTCATGTGGAAAGTGTGATCGATAATGGTGTATCACACACATACAGCTACAGGTGGGCTGCCAATAACTATTGGTCGAATAAAACTCAAGTGCGTGCCCCCTGCGGGATATTTGTCTCCATGGGATTGGATCAGCTGATCCTACCTGTGCGCGTGTTTGGAAGCAAAGGCTGAGGCGCGCTTCTATGACGCCGGCTCAGTGGGCGAAGCTCGGGTTGTAAGTCAATGAGGAGCTGGGCTCTGGTGTTGGCGGTTGGTACAGTGGTGAGCGGGTCAGAGATCAAGGCCATCCGTGCGCCAGTGGCGTCACGCTGCGGTGGGGGATCGGCGGCCGGGCTCGCCGACGGCGCGGCAGTGGCGCCATCAGCGGCGATCGCGGTCCGGGTAGTGGCTCCCGCTCGTCAGGTGGGGATGTGATGTGTGGTCCGATAGCCGCTGGTCCTAGCCGGACCTGCCAGGGGCGGAAGGCCTCCGTCCAGCGACGATGATTCACGCTCCAACAGCGAAAGCAGGGATGGTTTGTCGGGCGGAAGTGACGGACGTCACGGAACGCTTGCACCGGATGGCCCCGGACATTTGCTGGAGGCTACACACGCGAACCGCTCGGAACTTTGATGCTTTGTTCTGCTGGGGACGGACGAAGAACTGATCGAATGAGAAATGGAAGGGACTGCGCACAGAATTCTACCCGGCGTCTGAAATCCTGCCGTGTCAAGTCGCCTGGAAGTACTGTAAGGGACAACTGCTTGCTACCAGCTCCGTCGAACATTTGAAGTGATGCAGCCAAGGTCGTGCCCGCAGCGCAGTTGATAGGAATTTCATAGTGTTTTTGGATGCATTAAAGTACAACTGATTTATTAAAAAAGTATAACAGTAGGTAGCATTTTAGCACTATAAAGTTTGCTACGCTCACGTCACCCCCAAAGAATAATCATGGTGGCGAGTCCAGGTGCCGGTGCTATCGGCACTATTTCATTTTTGAAAACGAATGGTTGCAGGAATCCTAGATGAGCTCAGATTAACATTTACGCACCATTAGTTATTGATGCGCACTTACAAACGGCTTTGCATCCTGTGTTGAAAACAGGTCCGCCCCCTCAAGAGGTGTGTTGGCCTAAATACTAGCGTTTTATCATACAAAGACGAGCTGGAGACACAGATACACGCGAACCAGGCCAACTAACACGGAACATGACGTCACGTGTACGATTTGGACGTGAGGGAAATCCATTTTGTGCTTCACTCCTGGTGGAGTCCGGGTAGACATCGGAGAAGCCAAATTTTAGTTGAGTCAAGGTAAAATGGATTCCTCAGAAAATACGAGTCCAACTGGAATGGTAGTGTAATCAACTCTATGGACCGGAATCAGTGAAAAGCCGTCTCACATAAAAATGCGAGCAACAACCGACGTTCTCTTTCTTACGGCTTTTGATTTGAATCAGCTGGAGTATGAGATGTGTTAGTCTTACTAACGAATCGGATGTCCAGCGCAACGTTTTATTGAGCTCATAGAAGATGGATCTCATGAGCGCCTGCCACCTAGGTCGGCTTGATTGAGATCCGCTCTGGACATAAATTGTAGGCGCGTAAGTGAGATTCGGGAGTCTACTAAAATAAATGCTTTTAATCCTTGTGATTCTAAGTCTGAAGGAGTCTGATACCCAGCGAGTTCGTGCTGCTGTTGGACTTCGGATGATAAATTACTGCTGTTTCTCCAAGCTCCAAATGCCGCTAGTATCTGTGTTCCTTTATTTGAGTGCACTTTTAGCCGAGAGCTGATTGCTAATAGTGAACAAAGGCTCGCTGCGATATGGTCTACATAGCTGATGCGCTCAAAAAACACAATCATCATCATCACAAATCGATTCAGCACTGGCTGGAGCGAGCACAAGTCTGGTGCGAAAGCTGCATGCACGTGTTGCATAAGTTTTCACACAGCTGCGTTCGATGGCAAGAGCACCGCTGTTGTGGAGAAGCTATGGCGTCATTTTTACGCGCCGGAAATTCGCGTGCACCATTCAAGGCATCTTAAAGGATCGGAGGTCGGGGCGCCGTCCGGCCTGCGCACCGCCTGCGGGAGCGCTGAGTCACCGCTAACACGCCGTGGGGCGCGGCGGCGGGGCGCGGCTGTCGGTGGGCGTCCGGCGTCCCTCAGGTGTGCCCGCCGACAGGCCGGCCGTCGACACACTTGTCGGCGGGCGCAGCTGCGCGGCCGGCGGCCGGGCCGGCTCAGTGTGGCCGCGAGCCGCCGCCACCGAGTATGACCGCCGGAGCGGAGGCAGCGCCACCGGAGGTCGCCGCCCAGCCGCAGGCAGCCGAGCCGGAGCAGGGCGGCGCGCCGCCAGCACGGCCGCTCACCTCGGCGCAGACGGCAGTGCAGCCCGCTCACCAGTCGGCCGGCCTGCCGGTACAGACCGACGTCCAGCCGGTGCTGGCTCCCAGTGTCGCTGACGCCCAGCGGCCCCTGCCGCCGCCGCCGCCGCCGCCGGCCGAGAAGCCGCCGCCGCCGCCGCCGCAAGAGAAGCCGCCACCACCGCTGCAAGAGAAGCCGCCGCCGCCGCCACAGGAAAAGCCGCCGCCGCCGCCGCAGGAGAAGCCGCCGCCGCCGCAAGAGAAGCCGCCGCCGCAGCGTGCGCCGTCCGTGACTGCGGCCCAGATCGAGGCGGTGCGCCGGCAGTCGCGGCAGTTTCAGACGCTGCGCGCCGCCACCCCAGCCGGCAGCGCCACCAGCCAGCCGGCGCCAGAGCACTCGGGCTCCGCGCGCGCCGAGCGCGGCCGCAGCGCGTCGGTAGTGGCGCGGCCGGCGCCGGCCGAGGTCCGCGCGGCCACGCTCCCGCGCCGCACGCCGCCGCAGAGCGAGCCGCAACCGTCGCCGCCGCAGAAGGCGGCCCAGCCGCGCACGCAAACTGAACCGCGCCAGCCAACCCGCGCCCGGCCGCCGCCAGCTCGCGACAGCTCGCTCCCGCGCGAGGCGATGGGCACGCGGCCGTGGTTCCGGCGCGGCGGCCGCGGCGGCCAGACGCTCCGCCGCAGCGTCACCTATGGCAAGTCTGTGGAGGAGCTGGCCATTCAGCGGCGGAACATGGCCAGCATACCGCAGCCGTGGATGCAGCGGCTGGTGAGTTGGCGATAGGGCTGCTGTCGAGGTGTGCCGGGCACCGGTGAGCTAGCGGGAAGCCGGGTCACTTCGCCGGCGTAGCTGGTGAGGTAGCGGGGCACGTGTTTGGAGCGGGCTACGGCCGAGGGAGAGGGGGGGGGGGGGAAGCGGTTCGGAAATCCCCGGTCGACAGCTATAGAGGCCGGAATGGTGAAGAGAGCGCAGTCATCGCGCTGAAGGCGGACCGGACCTGGCGGCCAGCAGCGACGGCGCGCTGCGACCTTGCCGCCGTGTTGCGACAGATGGCCCCAACACCTGTCGCGGCTGGCGGTGGGCCGTCGGCCGCGGCGCGCCCGGCCAGGCCATGGCGGACCCGCTCAGCGAGTGGTGGTTCGAGCGGAGCCACCGGGGCTGGGCGGCGCGCGAGGCGACCGCGCGCCGCCGCTACGGCCTGCCGCCGCGCCGCCGCTGGTACCAGCAGGGCCTGTGGGCGCACGGCCGGCCGCCGCCGCTGCCGCCGCCGCTGCTGCCAGCGCCGCCGGCGGCTCTGGTCGACCGGCGCCACCCGCCCGACGCGTTCGAGGTTACGGAGCTGAGGAGCCGGCCGGGGCGGCTCAAGACCGAGCTGAGCGGCTCCGGGGCAATCGGAGAGAAAGGGAGTCAGCCGAGCTGGCCAGACATGGACGCAGTGTCTGCTGTCTGGGCGTGAAGCTGAACTCTGAAGTCTGTGGTCCCTGGTCCCTGGTTCTTGGTCCCTGGTGCCTGGTCCCTGGTCCCTGGCCCCTGGTCCCGAGTCCTTGGTCCCTGGTCCGTGCCAGAAGTCCCCACCGCTTCCGTGTGCTGCTCGCGAGAAAGCCGCTGTCAGTCCCGCAGGCGTGCGCGCCCCCGTGTGAAGCCGGGATTGTTGGCCGGCCGGGGCTCGCCGCGGTGCCGAGGCTTCCATGGACGCGTCTCCGGCTGACGCTCGCCGCCGCCTCTGCCGCAGGTGACTCTCTGCAAGGACCGCGACGGCCGCGTCGGCCTGCGCTGCCAGGAGATCAACAAGGGCGTGTTCGTCGTGCTCGTGCAGAAGAACTCGCCGGCCGCCATGGCAGGTCAGGGGGCCAGGGCACGGCTGGACGAGTCGTCGCTAAGCTGTGGCGCAGGCGTGGCCGGTTTGCGGGGAGTGGACGTGCTGCCCTTTTTGTGCTCGAATTCATGATGTCATTTTCAGAGTGTCTTCATCGGAATGTGACCCCATACGTGAGTCTTTCCGCAGGACATTGTTGATTTGTTATCATCTTTTTTTCTTTTTTTTTGTATGTCGACACCAGGCCAGCTGTTTGAACGTGTTTCAACCCCCCTCCCTCCCCAACCCAGCACATGTTTTCACGCACAACTCGCTCCGATAGGTCTCCGCTTTGGTGACCAGATCCTCCAGATCAACGAGGTGTCGGTGGCCGGCTACGACATGGACAAGGTGCACGACATGTTCAGGAAGGCGCGCTCGGACGCCATCAAGGTGAGGCCCGGGCTCCTCCCTGACGTCATCCCTACACAGGGGTTCCGTGGAGACCTCTCGGCAGATGGACGCACGGGCGGCGGAAGGTTTTCTTAGTTGATATGAGGGAGTTAGTAGTCATTTTTTATCATTATTTCTAGTCGACGCCCATGGACCATAGGGCGACTGTTCAATGGTCAAAAAGTTTAGAAACGGGAGGGGGCAGCCCCCGCGGCCCTTAGTTCCTGCTCCCTTGGATGGGCAGTTATCAATGATGACAGTAGGCTCACTTTTCAGTTTTTTGGCGACTTAAAACCTGTATAATTTATGATAACTGAGGGCAGTGATTGTTCCTGGTAAATCTCGTCCTTTTTTGTTTTGTTTTGTTTTTCTTCTTTCTGTTTGAGTACAAAAGCCTCTTGCGCAGTATTAACGTGCAAGGTTATTTTCAAAATATTGTCGATTTTTTTTCCAAACGCATGTCATGTTGTCAAGTAAAATTTGATCTCTTTCCGGTCTGCATCATATTGCATGCGACGTACATCTGAGATCAATCTCGATCGCCCGTTTCGGGCTATATTGGTGGTGCATGTCGGATTCCGCGTTTATGACCCACTGTGGGAACGTTGACATTTAGGAGAATGTTTCCAGCTTTGTGCGACTTTTTCAATTGATGTGGTCTCCGTGTAGTACAATAAAATAATTCATAGAACGATATCAAAACCAAATAGTAGTAGTGTAGATAATCTCAGTCACAACTCTAAAACCCTATTAAGGACCTATTAAGGACGTGATGCTCCAGCTTCTGAGTTTGAATCCAATATACAATTTAGTAAATATGTTGGTGGTATGAAAACACCAGCTTGTTATCTATCCTGCCCAAATACTTGGGCCCGCTTTTTCTACCTCCACTATGCTGTTAGTGTAAGGCTGAACATAAAGCCGGTCTGAACAGCAATCCAGGAAGTGGCTGTGGAGCGATGCTGGCGCTTCCTCATAGCTGTCGTTTGGCGTCATTGACTGACGATGAACATTTTCGCATATGAATCATGCCCAGAATTGAAGACGATGACTTTTATAGCCAGCATCGTGAACCAGCGGGATTTGTGGACTTCGTGTACGCGACATGGATGCTAGTCCTTTGTCGGTGCCGAACTTTATGTAACCACGCTTCGAAAACCAGTCGCTAAACCACTCCGGCATGTGGGCCTCAGCGTTGATCCGTGCCGTAACGTGCGGCCGACAGTTAACACCATCAGACGTATATACTCCGTGTCTTTTCTGACGTGCCTGTGTAGTGGAGCACCGCGCCGGGCCACGCGGTACATCCGCATTCGCAGGCGAGCAGCGCGTCGGTGACGCGCGGCGTCGGCCCATATGAAACCGGGGATTTTCGACGAAGTAGTTCCATCTGTTGAGCGGATGGAGATGAGAGGATAATGCTCCGGCCTGGTCGGGGTCATTGTAATTCAGCTCCGCTGTTCGTACCGGGTGCACCCGCCGCCACGACTTCTCCCTGGGGTGTCCGCCGTGAATGCCCTGTGATGAAGCCCCGGCACGAATCCGGTCTAAATGAGGTGGACGTACGGGATGGACGGTCTTGTTGGTAAATTCAGTTCAGCACAACTTGTTAGAAATCCAAATACGTTATCGCACGTTGCGTGCACGACACGACCGTCCCGACCCTCGTCCCTGCTTATCGTCTTCCCAACAGATGGCGGTGTGTATGTGTGTGCAGTAGTTTGTGTTTGCACCGACAGGTGGCAGTGCGTGACCGGCCTTTCGAGCGCACGGTCACCATGCACAAGGACTCGGCGGGCACGGTCGGCTTCCAGTACCGCGACGGCAAGATCATGGCGCTCGTCAAGGACTCGTCGGCCGCCAGGAATGGTGGGTCGTCGGCAGGGGTTCCCTGGGTGCTGTCCGCCCGTCCCGCAGACACGGTATGGGTGTGGGCGGTATAAGTATGGGCGATGTGGGCTCACCACGAGGGTCCAGCGCACAGCAGTCCGCTGATAGTGAGTCTTCTCTTCGCCGCATGAGGGATAGTTTTTCCTGGGTATTCCCTGGGGCGGCTGGTTACCTGTGCGATATTCGAGTTGCCCTAGATGGCGTCGGCCTGCGAGGAATTGCTGGGTCGAAGTTACTCCGTTCCGCACGTGTTGCGTCTTACAGCTGCTCAGGGGTCGAACTCGCACATTGGCGGACACTTAAGCCGACATGTCTTACATGGCAACATTACAAACAGGCGTTAAACCCGTCTCTTACTGACGCAACATTACGCCAGCCCCAACGTCTCGAGCAGGCACAGCGCCTGCGGCTCGTATCTGTCGTGTCACGGAATACGATCCGGAGCCGAAGCGGCCTGCGTTGAATGTGATTCACCTGCGGCCGTCGCGCCGCGTGCGCCACTGACGCGTCCCCGCGTGCGCGGCAGGGCTGCTCACCGAGCATCACATGCTGGAGATCAACGGCCAAAACGTGGTCGGTCTGAAGGACAAGGAGACCAGGGCCATCATCGACGAGTGCGGCTCCGTGCTGACCGTCACCGTCATGCCCTCCTTCGTCTTCGAGCACATGATGAAGAAGTGAGTGACACGCTGAAGGCCCTGCTCCTGTGAGAAGCTCCCGTGCGTTGGTGGCATTTCGTGTCTTCATGGGTCAGCGCCTGTCGCCATCCGTGTGGGTTTCGTGTAAAAGAGCACGCTTGGGCATGACATTTGGTGCTCGTGTGAAGGCTCAATCGAACCCCTGCCTGGCGGTCGGATCACTGGAAGCGCTTGTGGTGGGTCTTTGGCCAGCGGAAATATGCCAGAGACTGGCGTCTCATGAAAGCTTAAAAGCGGAGAACTTCAGCAACGCCTTTGATGTTTGACGCGTGGCTGTGCCTTCCCGTGGGATATCTTATTCCCGCCGTCTAGACTGCCGGATTGGCTGGTGTGTTCAGCGTCTCGTCTGTGTGGCAGCTGACGACAGTGTCCAAAGCCATGGCGCGGGCACCAATCTCGGACGTTGGCCGGTGGTCGACCTCTCACGGCCGAGTCCTGCCGCTGAAACCCTGTCGGTAGATCAGGGTGTCCGTTACGATGTGGTGACCTTACTGAGCATTCAGCGACCGGCCGAGCCAGGCCTGAGAGGCCAGGCCAGGCAGCCTCAGGCTCTGGCCGGATGGCTGTTTGTGTGTCTGTGTGTGTTTGTGTTTGTCTGTGTAACGCGGTGGCGCGCGGGCGTGTGCCCCTCGTCTTCCGCGTCTGACCAACAACGCCCTCCCCTCTCGTCCCCCGTGCTTCCCCACGCTGACACGGCTCTCGCACGTGCGCAGGGTCCACAGCAGCGTCATCCAGAAGCTGATGGATCACTCGGTACCCGACTTCTAGAGCGGCACCGGCCGACGGCGGGGCGCCGCCTGGGAACGCGGGGACCGGCCGCCGCCCGACGGCGGGCTGGGCCAGATGTACTCAGCCCGGCCGCCGGTCCCCGAGTCTGCAGATTATCCCCCGGGAGGGACGCAAGCCGGCGCGCGTGCAGTGTCTTGACGGTGGCGTCTCGGGGAAGGTGGTCTAGCGGGTCCAAATCGTCTGAGAATTAAATAACACGGGCATGAACATTCGTGCGGTTTATCAGTACTTGCTTACGATGTACTGCCACTGTATTACGATGATAAGTGGGCTGCATCCCTCCGCTGCATTATTGGACTTCGTGACGAGGAGGAAGAATGTGTGTTTGTGAATGAGTACTTCGCATTTAAGGCTGTTTTGCTAGACTTCGCGTGGTGTATACCTTCTGCTCTAATCGGTTGTCATCATTTGAATGCCAGGCTTAGTTCGCGGTCCCAGAGTAACCGTCTGTTTCCAATATTCCGGTGAAAAGCATGCCTAATGATGAAATACCTCGTCTCAACTCTCCGTGAAACTATCAGGACATATTCTCTTACGTGGCGGTGACGTGTGTGTGTGGGCCTCCGTTCTTGCATTGTAATCGTGCCGTGGTGGAACGCGCGCTGCCGTGCACTCCCTGGCTGGCCAGCGTCCGTCCGCGCGCCGACTTCGGCGTGACAACGACGTTGCGTGCCTGTCGAAGCGTTCGTCCATTGGTGCTCCGGCTTACGGCTGCCACAGAGGCCAGTCAGCGCGTTTTGTTGTGGCTATGGTCCGCAATTGGCTGGTTAGTCGTGGTGATGACGTCATGCGCCTGAAGAGCCGAGCTCCCGCGTGATGGTCGCTGACAGAGCGACCCGCTTGCCTGAACGCGGCGAAGGTGGACAGCGCTGATGCAGTGTTGCCTCCAGTGGCGAGACGTTCCCAAAACGGTCCAGGCGCTGCCGCGGTAATGTTAGACTTATGGCCATCATCGCGTGCCCAGCTAAAAACTTATGTCAAAATCTAGGATTTTGGGAGCCCCCTTTAAATGGGGGCGTGTAAAGTACAGAGGAGGGCACCGCGCGGTCCGGCTTGAGCGGCCGCCCCGTGCGATGAAGTGCTCTTACGTGCGTCCTCGGTGTTACGGCGACACGAGCCGTGGAATATTAGTCAGGAATGGGGGCGGGTAGACTGCCGCTCGCCAGCCATATAGAACGTGTGCGAATCTAAGGTAGACGTTGTAAGCTCGCACCTCCTGTGTGGCACCCAGCTGCACCCGGCTGCGATTATTATCGTCCTCTTCAGTCGGGCACGATGCGGCCCGACCGTCTCGCTTGGTCCTGTCCTGTCACCAGCACGGCATCCGGCAGCGACGCGCCGTTCCGGCCGGGCGACGCAGAGTGCTGGGTCGCGGTCACTGTCGTCGGCGTGGTGGTCTGTGGTGGCTCTCGCTCAGCAGCCCGGCGGGACCGACGTAACGCAGCTGTTGAGCGTTGACAGCCACACGCTGGATTTCGATGTCCTGTTTCGGTGTTATTCATACGCTGCTTTTGATTCTCGGCCTTTTGAGACACCAAGGCTTCGGTGCTCGCAGGCTGCTTTTTTATCCGAATGTTCTGGCTTCCGTAGGTAGTTGGGACCCGATTAGGGATCCGTGCCCTATGTTATTTCTGATCGGTAAAATAAACGTGACTTTAGCAACGGTTTTTGATGACGTGAAAATGCGGGCATCGTTATTGAAAGCGATGGCGCCAAGAAGATTGGGCTGCTGAGGTATGAAAGTGCGTTGCTCGTGAAATTATTCTCAGCAAATGCCTCCAGCTCCACTGAACCTGGTCTTTGGAACTCGCCACGTGTCGTACCACCAGGGCACCTGCGATTGTCCCCATTCCCCAGAACAAGATCAAGATGGTGGTCCGGCCCCACGGCCGTTAGCGCAAGTCCAGTAATGCCGCTGCCACATACCTGAACAGACTACTGACGCGACCGCCCTCGGACACGCCAGTATTATTCCCGGAAGAAATGAGCAGGGCTAAATTACAGAAGCAAGCGTTCTGCCGTGGTTTCGCTCTGTGCTGGATCGAGGCCCTTCGGCCAGCCTGCTCCGCGAGTGTCGATCAGGCAGCGTGCGCGCGTGCGTGCCGCATTCGTCATGGTGCCGCGTCATCCGGCCGCCGAACGTCGCTGCGCAGCGGCGGCGCGTCCTCGAGACGGACCGGGCATTCCTCGCGACGGACGGGCGGGCAGAGCCCGGCCTGTTGGGAGGAGGGACCGGTCCTCGGGGGCGGGCCCCGGTCGGCGCCAGGCCGGTGCGCTGTTTTGGCGTTTTAAGGATTGGATGCTGTCGTCGTGGTAGTGGTCGGGCTCCCGTAGTAGGCTCCCGTAATCTGGACCTGTGCAGTGTATGCCAGACCGGCGTAAAAACGCGTACGTAAAGTTAAAATACGCACCGTTGTACGTGCGTGCTTGCAGGAAAGATCGGTACCAAATTACAAATAGTGGTGTCTTCAACGAACACAGGCAGGATTCTTGAGACAAGCTCATTTTCACCGCCCGGGAGAGCTCTGTGGATGCTTCTAAACCGAGCTGTCTCCTGCGCAGGTGTCTCACCCAACCCCCCAGCCCCACCCTCATCCCCGCCGGGAGTCCTAGTACGCGTCTGATCTAGTCTCCTGCGCAGGTGGCTCAGCCCTCCCCCGCGGAGGAGTCCTGGTGACGCCTCTGAGCTGTCTCCTGCGCAGGTGGCCCAGGCCCCACCCCCCGCCGGAAAGTTCTGGTGACGCCCTCTGAGCTGTCTCCTGCGCAGATGGCTCAGCCCACACACCCCGCCGTGGAGTCCTGGTGACGCCTCTGAGCTGTCTCCTGCGCAGATGGCCGGGCGGGCACGTCCGTGCGATATTTCCGCTTGACTCACCGACCGGGGACCGGGCGCCGGCCTGCCGCGTGCGGCCCGCTTTACTGCCTGGCCTCTGATAGATTGGTGTGTACCCGGTGGTTAGGAAATTGGAGACGCCCGCCCGCAGCGGCGGAGCTGTCTGTAATCGCCCTGCACGGACTGGCCCGCAGGAATGAGCGTCATGTGCGTAGATGTCGCCGCGTCGGTCGCTCGTTAGCCGCAGGGGAATGCCACGGACTGCAGCCGTGCCTTGATGGCGAGGGAGGTGGGGAGGCTCTCAGCAGATGAGGGGGAGGGGGAGGGGAGGGAATGGGGTCGTCGCACGCGAATGTGGATTGTAGTTTTGGTAGTGGTGGCACACGGCGAGTCTTCGTTCAGCAGTGGCCCATTCATAATCTGAAAGCAGCTTGTGATGGTGAAGTCTGTTGACGACTTCCATCCGTAATCCAAAAATCCACAATTACTTAGCGCACTTTTCCACTGGCATCCATTTTGACCCCTGGGTTAGACGTCACCTACTCAGCCAGACCCCTGAGGTTAGACATCACATACTGCGCCTTCCACCGCCGTCAGATCCGTCCACCTGTGGCGGGTCGATCCGTCCACACTGCCTGTCCGCACGGTCCGTCCACACGGGCCGCCGGTGGCATGAACCGCCCGCTCCCCGATGGGTCCCCAGCAGAGCTCATTGCGAGCGGCACCGTTGCGTATAAGACTGGGAGGCCATAAAGAGCAGCGTTAAATTGAGCCATCGGCCTGGCCTGACGGCGGGGTGCTTAGAGCCCCCTGCTCCATGGTGATGCATTGGCCATACGCGCGGAGATGAGCATCTGCAAAAGCCGGGCGGGATGTCGGGCGCGTGGAGGGCCGACCGGACGTCTGTAACGGCACAGGAATGTGTGCTGGTTCGGACCGGGCGTCCACGCACCATCGATGCTCAGTGTGCTCTTGCGTGCGTTTGATGACCGTGGCGTCGCATGGCTGTGCATGTAGACTGCAACGCGGCAACAGAACACAAAGTTCGATGCCCTCCCGTTCCTCGCCGATTAGCATGCTCTCCGCAAGATGCGCGATGTGAATACTCTGAAAGGCTCCTGTCAAAAGCGGACTTGGATTGCGTCAGCCAGGCGGTGTAGAATAACATGACACATGACATTTGCGTCACGTGACACATGACGCACGTGTCGGGCGCACCTGGCAGTTTGATGCGCGCGCGTGAGCGCCAGACAGAGACCCGCCGAATATGCAGGGTTGCTTGGTGCTGCCGTCAGGTCTCGGCGGTCATGGCACGTCAAGGCTTGAAGCCAACCGCATGTTGTAGGTGAAGATGCCACTACAACGCCCTGGAGACCTCAATACTGTATCGTCTATAGAGATGGTGGCAATCGGCTGGGAAGTGACGCGCCGGTCTGAAAAAAGATGCATGTGGCTTATACAAATCTAAGGATAGATAGCAACATCGAGGATTAGAGAGAACAATAAATGCGATATTTACGTAGCCATAGATATAATGACAAGATGACAACACATACCAGAGCAATAAGTGCAACTCGCTTTGGTTCGACCTGAGGGATGGAACCGTGCGAACCGTACGGGAGGAGCGGCAAATGCACCGTGATCAACATACATACCATTTTTTGTTTGTAAGCCCATCGCTCATTGCACACAGCGTAGTAAACAGGATTCATTGATTTCATGGGCCGAGATGGCAGTGCGCGGCTCACGCCAGTCAATTTTCAAGCGATTTGTTTTACGAATTAAGCCGTGATTTAGTTGTCAAAGGTTGCCTTGAAACGTAGGAAAGATGAGCATTGTGCGAATGCATGAATCGGGGCCAATCTGCATGAGTCTCCTGCGTTGACAGTTCTCACTCGCCTACATGATCAGGGACCTTTTGTTTGTGTGATAATATATCCTTATAACCATGGGTAGATGTGTAGCTTCCTTTAGTTGGGTGTTTCTGGTCCTCCCACATCTGAGAGGAAGTCGGTCGAATTCGGGGAGAAATGCACCTTTATGCGTATTTCAAAGAAAGTCTTTGCCATTTTTCGTTGCTCAGACCCTAACGTCTATTTTGTAAAACTTCGCCCCTACCCATAGGCCATATCACGTGAGGGGCGAGGTAAATCCCCACATTGCTAGAAACTGAACGCAAATGTAAGATTTCGTGCCAATGTGGTTGCATATAACGCAACCCATTAAGAGCTTTGGTGCTGACAGTCATGTCTTCCTTCCTTATATTTTCTGAAACCGAGACAATAGTTGTGGTTCTTACAAGCAGCCCTTTGACTACAAATCTTCGCTAGTGAAATACCAGTAAGACGTCTTTGGGGCGGCGCGGGCCGAGCAGGGCGAACACACGTCAACGTTGTGCTCACGAGGACGATACAGATCACGAAGTGAATGGGGCGAGCCCCCTGTGGGAGCTTTCGGAAACAGAACTCACGAATGCTTGGAACGTCCGTCTTTCATGGATTTATTCGCTTGGATAGGTACAGCGCTTTCGCGTATATTCCCAAGTCGTATTGCTTGAAGACTAGCTGGTCATAGAATTTGGGATGATTGCCATTTTCGGCTAGCGACCAAAGTGTTGCGAAACGCAACTGCTTGTTTGGATATTGATCTCGACGAACTGAGCTATACGCCGACGTGGCTTTCATGGCCCAGTCTCCTGGTTTCGGGCCTCGCTTCTTGACATTCGACGTCGAGCTACAAAAGAAGACCGCATCGAGTACTTCCCGGCGCTTGAACATCGTCGCAGCAGACGCCACAGTTTTGAACCCGGTTCCCGACTTCTGGACGGCGCATTCGCCGACACCACGTACAGTTGCTCTCATACCCCCACACCTCCTCTGGCTGCTGAGACTCGACACTGGGCTCTAAACGCACCCCAAAGCTGCCGGACCAGTGGTTTGACCTCGGGTCACGTGGCACAGCGGACGGACCCAGGCGGCGGGCCACAGCTCTGTCAGCGCTGTTGTCCGTCTCCTTCGCCCTCAGGCAGTGTTGCTTTCGTGTGGAGCCCTGCGACGCTCGAAAGGATGACATCATAACCTGGTTCCGACCCGCCCCGTAAGCTTGTTAGCAATTTGGAACATTTCCCATTTTAATCTTATGAAAAGCTTAAGTTTTCGTGATATGACAAAAATGCAGACATGCTTGATGGGGCTTGCATTCAAATCTCTTGAGAATGTCACAGTATACCCTTTAAAAGATGATGCAAGTTGTTGAAAATTGCATGCCAGGGCGATAAGTGGATGCAAGTATGAAAGTTTGTCAAAGGCACGACTAACCAGGCCGGGACGGAAGCCGAAGCTGCACAATTTCCGTCTGGTTGTTAAGACAAGGCCGGTTTGTGGCCCTGTCCGTAATTACCGCTTTCGTGCTTTGCATAGGTCAAAACGATATGCACTAGAACACTCGTAATTCAAACTACCATTATGTGATCTTCCACTCCCACCGAGGTCATAAGACCAAGCCTTTTTCCAGGGTTATTCCGGCATGGGGAGTGGGTTCCCGGGAAAAACGGCTATGCCAAATAATGCAAGACTTAACGTATGCGTCGTTTGATTTGATTACGACAGACCCTTTTGCCTAAAAAGCCTCGCTGTTCCCGGGACTTTTGAGCCGTGATGGACTCCTGTCTATCTCAGCCATTACCTCGCTCGTCCGATGTCAAATAAGGCGTCGCACTGCCGCTGTAAGAGGCCTGCCTCCGGATGACCTCCGGATAACCTCCGGATGACGATCGCGTTTTGACCTGGAAACATCGATGGCGAAATCAAAGGCGTTCGGAGAGCCAGCA